CCGCACCCCTGTGGCTGTCAGCCCTGGGCCCTGGGCCACGCAGGCCCGGACTGGTGGAGACCTTCCACCCCACCACTGGCCTCTGGGTGGCGCACCGCCGGTCACACGTGTGGCCCTGGAGTGGTGACTGCGTGGGCGCCGGAGTAAAGGCCAGGCCGATGATTTGCCACTGAGGAGACATGCCGTGAAAGCTTTGGAAAAGAGTCCTGGCTCCCGATCAGCGGTGGGGCGCCAGACTATGTCCCAGGTGCCCCTCCTGAGCCACTGCCGGGACCTGCTCTGTAAGGGGTCCTGGAATCAAGGTGCGATGACCCCAGGCCATGCTGACAACCCCCCAGCAGCCCCACCCTGTGATGTGGCAACAGTCCCCCATCAGCCTTGGGTGGTCACCCTTCAATCAACAGGTTGTCTTCCTGGGAAGCTCAAGGCGGCGGCTCCACAGAGATGAGAGCAGGCAGAGGCGTATGAAGGATGGGCAGCGCGTCGTGTTCAGCCCCGGAGGTCTGACGGACAGGCGTCAGGGTGGTTACTGCTCGGAGGAGAAGGTCTGCCGGCCCAGAGGGAATCCGAAAGCAAAGCTGTACAGGTGCAACGGATCAGCCCACCGGAGCAGCAGCTCAAGAGCTCCATGACAGCTTGGCGACAGCGAGGAGCATGGCCTGCCCATGCAGGTAGAGATGTCAGTGCCCTGCTCACACGCCTCTCTCTCGCCCGCGGAGCAGTGAGAGCACCAAACGCAAAGGGCACACCACGCCGAGACAAGACAGCACCCAGTGCCAGTGCAGACGCACCGCGGGTCGCCTGCAGAACCGGAGCTCCCGGCAGTGTGAGAGCAGGGCTGGCTTCCTGGGTCGCGCCAGGGTGTGTAAACCGGCAGCCAAAAGGCGCGTCCCCGAATGAACTGCACCCCAGCGGCCCCAGCACAGGAGGCGGGCGAGATCAAGAAAATCCCTCGCCAGGAGTTGTACAGGGGGAAAGGACGCGATGCTTCTGAACAGAGTAACTATTTCCTAAACGCGAGGAGGCTGCGCGTCGCAGGAAACACGACTCCATTACTACCCAGCTGCCCTCACCGTGACAACCAGCGGAGACACAAATTGAACACGCTGCCGTACCAGCACGACAGCTACCGAAAACCCCCGGGGCGCGAAGAACAGACCCAGAGCCAGGCCCCTGTCCTAGAGGCCACACGCCGGCATGTGAATCACCCTGTGTGTGTGGTGAGGGGGTGGGGGGGGGGCGGGCAAGAGCACTTACACAGGTGCAAAACACTGAGGAAAACGAGATGAGGGTGCACGCATTTGCTCTGTAGACCGCAAACGTACCCGCTAGGCCCCCCAGCTCAGCACGGGAGCTGCCAACTGTCCCCCGGCGCGACCCAATCACTCTTCTGCGCTTTGAGAAGATTAACCAATCCCGGGGGAGCCGGTGCATCGCCCCGCCTCGTCAGGAAAACACAAAAGGCATGTTTAGGCAGAATTTCTAGAAGGAATTTCCATTCTAGGGGTTCGCTCTCCCGAAGTCTCTTTTCCAAAGATGCTCCGGGTATTCGCCCAGTCTCTGGCGATGTTCCTGCTCGTCTTCGTGATTTTAACCAACTGGCTGGTGGTGAGGAGCACGGAAGCGGTCCAGGGGGCTTATAGGAGGATTTGTAAATAGAGGATTTGGTGAAGACCTGCGTACGGTTACCGAAAAGGCGTCGGCGAAAGGTAAGATCGACTGGTTTTTCTTGAATTTCAAATCTGCCACACACAAAAAAAAAAAGACGACGACGCCTTTTTGGGGAATGCAAAGCGCGTTTTTATTGCTTTCCGATTTCGAAAAGAAGGTGGCATCTCAGGGAATATTCACGTTACTTTAACTGAAATAGTTATTTTGCATTGCCCACCACAATGATCGCGACTGGTCGTCATTCACAGTATTTAAGTCACTTAGTCATTGTCGGTCAGCAATAAAAGATCATGAACTATTTCAGCGAGACGGGAGAAAAGTATTCGAGGGCGATAATTTCGCACCCCGAACAGCTCCGTGCATCTTCTTTCGATGAATCAAACTTGTGGATTAGTGGACTCAAACTTTGCCTGTAGATGAGGAGGGGGTGGATGAGGTGCCTGGCCGTGCTGGAATGTGGTGGGATGGGCTCAGTTCAAAAGCGGGCTTGGCCATCGCCTGGCTTAGTGGAGCGGCGTGAGGTCATCGGTCACAGGTCGGTCTGAGGCGGCTGCGCAAAACTGAGCAGTAGCTGCCAAGCAGAGCGCTGGGATACCAGGTGATGCCCCATCCCTCCCCCCTGCTCGGACTCTGCTGCATGGCGGGTCTCAGTTCCTACTAACAAACTTCTGTTTTAGGAGAGTGCCCGCCAACCCTCCGTCCCCCTCGACCAAGGGCAGGAGCGATGCTCCATTACTGCCTGGCGCACATGGCTTTTCACCTGAGCAGGCGGCTTCCTCGCCACCACAGGCTGAAGTTGTGAGTTGGTTTGCTGGCGAGGACGAGCGCTCTTCGTTTCTGTCAGTGCTGCAAGTGAGCAGTAAGGCCGACCTGCTGGACAGAGAGTGGGGGCTCCCTCCCTCGTTCCCCCACTGAAGGTCTTGCAGGTTGCACGCTGAGAAATGAGCATGACCACTAATTCACCAGCCCTGTTCTGCTGCTGGTGTGCTGTGCAGTGTTCAGGGCATGCCTGTCTGCGTGTGTGCTTGTCTCCCTAACTTGTCTCAGCCCAGTCTGTAACTTCAATTTTCTATACCGTTTCTATAAACAATTCTCCATTGTACAAATTAAACTTTTGTTTTTGTTTTTTTCCCTTTACAGTCAAGTTATTGTTCTGATCTGTGTGACGGCTGCTCTGGCTCCGCAGCTGTATGTTCTACTGAGGTGAGTGCACATATGATGTTTTTAAAAGTACACTTCAAAAATATGCATTGGTCCTTTTAGGGTAGTTATTTCACTTTTTTTTCCAGGAAGTATAATAGTTTACACTAAAATACAGTATATTCGGGGTAATGCCATTCACAGCACTTCCCCAAAATCCGTTAATGAAATAGATTCCGTTTCTCACGATTTGTGGGAAATGAACTGCAGGTGGTTGAACAGGGTTGTCAGCCTTTCCCGGAGTTCCTGTTGAATTTGGTTTTTGGTCCACGTGACATCCCGGATAGTCAAATTATTTAATGAGCTGCATAACCGCAACACTTCATACCCAGGCCCAAAGGTATCTTGCAGTCACCTACACCTTTATCCAATGAAGGAGTACTCAGATGTAAGAGATCTTGTGAAATATCCAATAGATATCAAACTAAGGACAGAATTGGCCTGATGTTTTGACGAGCCAGCTGGGAGAACCCCCAGAGCACACCAGGCTTTGAGACCCCTGTATGGGTGAAGCATTCTTGCCTTTTTCTCGAAACTGCTCTTCCGCTCCCCGGAGAGACACCATTTTGTTTGTTTTTGTGTCCAGCCCAAAATCGCAGCGATTCTGCCAGCAGCCCCTGCTGCCTAACCTCGCCTGCTGCACCGCCTCGACTCTGGTGGCCACAGGTGAGCCTCGGGGTTCCCGCCGGCCGCGCGGGCAGGGCCGCTCTCCCCTGCGCACTAACGCCGGGCTGCCTGTGCAGGGTTTGTGGTCGTGCTGTCCCTGATGGACCCCGTGCCCCGGGCCTACAAGGCGGCGTTCCACGGGTTCGGGGTGGCCTCCTTCACGCAAGGGCTGTGCACAGCTCTCCTCACGGCCGCGGCTGCCCCGTGTGTAAGTGGACCCGGGTTTGCAGTGCAGGGGCCAAAGGAATAAAACTGTCTGACCCGCCATCTTGTGACCGAAGCGGCAGACGCAGTACAGAGCACAGAGATGGCACAGAAAACAGCTTTCGCTTCCAACGCCTCAACAGGCTGAGGATGGTTCTAGAATAACAATTCTGCCAGTAATTCTATTCACTGGCATGATGGGCATTGTGCAGGCAGCATTGTTCCTTCTGTAGGGCCAGTAACAGTTTTGATGTGGAAAAGCTGAAACTGATCAGCTTGATTGAAGATTTAAAAACTCGGATTCAAAGACATTTTTTGTAAATTGTTAAAGATGGGGCAAAACATTAACAGGTTTACTTTCGGGCCTGAATTAAGCATTTTAATAACTTCTTATTTTAGGCTAAAACAACTCCTGAACTCTACTACTTATCCGTGGTGCTGACAGTGGGATGCGTGCTGAGTACAGGTAAAGACGGCATTTGAGCACTCTTCTTTTAAAACCTATTAAAAACTATAAGCAAAAATTATAATGGCATCAATAATTTGCATATTTTGTCACAACAAGGTTTTCAGCATAATTAGCAATAAAGAAAAGTTTCCAGATTGTGCCTGTGTGTTTATTTGTGTCATTAAATGCAGTGATTCCCAACCCTGGTCCTAAGGGAATGTCATCTCTACTAATTTTCACTCCAGCTAAGCTCTACATCTCCAGTGCTAATTGACAACTTCATTGATCTGCTTGCTTGTTTAGACTTCTGCAGTCAGTCCCTACCTCAAGCCTTCCATTTCCAACACAGACCTGTACACAGCCTGTCCTTAAGGTGCTGGCTGCTGTTTCTGATCATACAGCTCTTACTAGCTGATCAAGTGACAAACAGACAGGCTCCTTCTGTGATAGAGCCATGTCCATCTTTTTCTTTCTCATAACACACCGGAATGAGGCAGACTCTGAAACTTAGAATTTGGTGCAGGATTGATACCAATTAAACTACTTAAGAACTTAAAGTTATTTTACAAATAAGCCCCAGTTAGAAAACAGAACCTAATTCACCTATGATCAAGAACTCAGGTAGAGCAAAAACCAGAAAATTGTATTTCTTCGGGAGTGGGGTTGGGGATACTGCTTTAAAGGATTGGCATCTTACACAGGCTGTCCTACTTTGAGCCCTACTCTCTCATAATTGGAAGGGCTTGGGGCTACCATGAATCATCATTTTTGATGATGGATGAATGGATTTTCCAATTAGTGCATCATATTCTTCAAGTACTGAAAAAGTGGAGTACAGTTGTAAACTTAAAATAAAGCACAATGCATATGACTGTATATAATGTAAAGTGAATAATAATAATAATAATAATCAAGTTAAATTCATACCATGTCAGGGATTAATAAGCCTTTTTCTCTTTCCTACCCAGTGTTTTTCCTGATAATGGGAGGATTCTGGATTGCTAACAGGCTGTGTCCGGGGTCAGTACTGAATCAGTGTGCTCAAAGTGGGGTGTGCTATGAGCCAGTCAGTCAATGCTCCTGTCTGTGGCACATCTGACTACAGATACCTTTGGACTGCCCCATAAATTATGCAAGCTGTTTCCATGGCAACCCCCACTCCCCCCCCTCCCTATCCCACACACACAGCAGATGAAGAAACTGGAAAATTCCACCAGGTTAACTATGGAGAAAACGGATGAGCTTTGCAGTAGAAAGGACTGGAAGATCTGCAACTGCCCCGCCCCTCCCAGCTACAGCTGACTGCCTAGAGACCACAGCTATTAATTATTCATCTACTCTGTAACATAACCAGCTCAGATCTGTGTCAGAACTTTCTACGGTGCAGATTTCAGATGAAAAAGCATCAGAGAATCAAGTCCTTTTGCTTTCTGTAGATATGCACCTGCTACTGAATGCCAAAGGAAATATCTGATTCTGTTTCATGGATTGTGCCTCCCTTTTCTTATCTAACTAAAAATAATAATTCAGCCATCTGTTTACTGAAATATTTATGTTGTGTCATGTCATACAGTCGGTGAGCTGTTGCTAGCTCTAACCTGCCTCTGTCATGGCCTGAGAGCTGTACACACTTGGGACATTTGGCGGATCAGTTCTACAAAAGAGTGAAATCATTAAGATTTCTGCTGAATCCGGGATGTATTGTTTGTAACAGTTTTTCGAATGTAGGTTTTCTATACAAAAGTAGACTCCATTTCAATTGGTGCACTGAGGTTAGGGAGATAGTAAGACAAGCAGGTTCCAGTTTGATAAAAATAAAGGGAAAAAGTCTTACATGTGGGTGGTGTTGATAAATTACATTATTTTGCCTGTATACTAGTATGAAGACAGATTCATCTAATTTTTATATTAAGAAGTTTATATAAAGCTTATAGATATTAATAAGATTTTGGGCCATGTGCCAGTATACGTATGTTTGTACCCTTAATAATGCAAACACATGCACCCTGCACTGGTACAAAAAGTAAGTAAAAGAGATTGTCAGCATATGTGCTATTAAGTATTAATTAACCCTAAAAAAACAAGTATCCTCACTTCATAGACCAAATAGCTAAATAACTGTAACCATCCCATGTTTTAAAAAGAGATGTTTTTAAAAATTAACAAGAGTATTCCAAGTCTAGTATTATTTGATAATACTGTTACTACTATCATCAACCTGTGTCAAATGTTAACCTTACGTAGTAATACAGTTAGGACATTGTGTACTCCTATGCCTTTATTGATAAAGAACAAAAGTCAAATTGCTGACCATATTCTGGAACAAAAATATCAATTTTGATATCTGAGCTGGGTTTTTTTTATTTTTCCTGCAAGTGTTTCCAAATGACTTGTTACTACTGCCATTAATTGCTAGAAATTCGAGTAATAAAACAGTACTAAAAGAGTAATGGTACTAATACATTTTTTAATATTGTGAATATTGCTGAAGCTACATCTTATTTTGCCTATTGCTGATGCATAAAAACTAGACCTAGTTCATACCCTTTTCTCTGCTGGTTTGGACTGTCATAATGCCCTACATGTGGGGATAATCAAAAACATCGAGAACAAATGCAGTATATCTATAAGCAGCTGGATATGGAGCAGTTTTCAGTCAGACAATCTTGTTTATTACTTCTGTTTTAGAATTGGTACATTGCTCATTATCCTTGGATCTAATCATTCTGGTTCAACTCACTACAAGACTGCACAGTCTAGAGGCCAGTCGTTCCTATATCCATCATGTTTGCAATGTCCTTTGGAAACAAATTTGGCAAAATATATCCTTGGGTGCACTAAAACCTCACCTAAAAATTGACTTGCTCAAAATGGCATTTTTAAAGTTTTCATATTTCATTTTTTTAAATTTTTGTACTTATGACTTGATTTAACCATTTGTTTTCTATGTACTGTACAACACTTGAGATGTGCTTTACAAATTGTTAAAATCACCTTTGCACATAGTCCCTTCGTTGTTGTGCTTTTATATCTGTTTTTAACTCTATAATAAATTGACTTTTTACAGACCACTGTTGTTTTGTCGTTAATTATTTACTGCTTGTTCTCATTGATCATGAAAAACTCTTGTATGTTCTTTGAAATGTCACAAGACATTTACAGCTTTTTTTGGTACACAGGCTCCACAAATAACAACTTTTTAAAAATAACACCATACCATACGCTATTAAACTTCAAGTCAGATTACCTTCTGAAGCTTCAGTTACATTAATAAACTAAATGGAACTATTGATGTTGCTACAATATATATATTTAACAGGTTCCCTTAATACAGCAAAATATGCTGGCAGGTATAACAATTTCTTCGGTGAAAAATCAGGGAAAATTGAAAGTATAATTTGTTACATTCAAGAAAGTAAAATGGTAGATATCACTTGGATAATAATACCTCAATGTGCAACACAGTGCTATGATGTAAATATAATACATACAATCCCTGTTGGATCTTTGGAATTCATCAAGTTAACTCTTGGGATCTGCAATAGTTAATACAGAAATGATTTCCTTTTTAGCCAGTCACATCAGCATATTTTCATCAGACAAAATATTCACTTGCCGTAAAATAAATATATGCACTTCCATATTCAATGGAACTTAAGACAGTACAAATGAGAGTAGAGCAGAAGCACCATCTAGCCCTTTTAGTACCTAATATTAATTAGCTAGTTGATCCCATCATCACATCCAGCCATTTTCTGAAAGAAGCTTTAACAACTTGTCTGGGAAGCTTGTTCCACACTCCCACAACCCTGTGGGTAAACAGGTGCCCAGGTTTTTGCACCCCACTCGAATTCTTTGTAGAAGTGCGCTCGTTGCTTGCCGGGTAGGCTCCGGCGTGCCGCGACACCGTATGGGATGAAGCAGTTTGGCAAATTACATGATAAAAGCCCGTCTCAAAGGAGTGGTTCTGAAACCGGATTTTAATTTTTTTTTCCGCCCAAAACAGCTAAATAGTTTAGCAACTATAACAATAAAAGATATGAAGGATCCCTATATATAATCCAAAGATTACATTTAAGCGGCAAATGTTTTTTTTCCGGTAACTCACAACATTGCAATTTAATTACATAAATGGTACATACCAAAAAAATCTAGGTTGAAGCTGATGTTTCCCAAGGCAGCTGCTCAGTTCCCTTTACGATTTAATTCCTGTTACACCCAGCCGCCTGAGAGCCGCGCTTCTGATTGGCCAGAAGGACCGGAAACTGGTGTCACATTAATTGTGTCCCCCACAGCATTCCTTGAGAAAGCTGAAAAAACGTCCCAAACATTTTGAGCCAAGGTAATAAAAAGGTTAGGAAAAAAGAGCTATCTATTTTAAGTAGATTTAATATCACGCAAAAGATGCTTAAGACGTACTATATGTCTTATCGGATACATAAAACCTGAAGCGAAACCTATGTTTTTTTCGATGTTAGGACAGAATAATATCAAACTGCTAACTTAAGTTTTTTTTTTTCTTCCAATAGATCAATAATGATGAAATACGTCGTCGGAATATAAAATAATAATTATAGTAATAAATGCGTATCCATTCAGGGAAAAAAAGTAAACGTACCCTGTTTTCGGTCAGGCGCTAGCTTCGGTCTGGGGTTTTTGTTATTAATCAGGACACCAACTTCTAAGGGCGTGGCGATTCTTTGTTGCGGGGCTCGTCAAATGATCATTTAGGTTTCATGCACTGCCAAATAAAGTCAAGGCTCATAGTAAATAAATGAAAATATCTATATAATTAAGTATATCTGCATTATCGATCAATCCTTGTGCAAGTGTTCACATATTTATAGCAGTCTAGTTTTTTTTAGATAGCCACCTTTACTGTTCTTATCTTTGATCGTCGTGCTAGTTACACAGAACAATTGAATAGCGCTTGTTCGATAGTAGTATCGATCTGTTGCAATTTTACGAACAATTGTATTGCTTGTTTACTGAAACGCAACGTCTCTCTACCATTATTTGGCGGCTCTTGGGTTTTCCCCTTTATTTCATGTTGTCTTTTACTGTTAGAGAAATGGCTTCCCGTGGAAAATCAGAAACCACTAAATTAAAACAGAACTTGGAGGAGCAGCTGGACAGACTGATGCAGCAGCTCCAGGACCTGGAGGAGTGCAGGTAGGGCAACAGTTCACCATACTGGCATTTTCTTGTGGAAATGGAGAAAGTCATTCATTACTGCTGCTACTTTTTTTGTTTTACAACCAATGATCAGTACTTGACAGTGGCAACATCTGGGGTGCGTTGCACCAGACCCCAGCACACTACAACATGCTTACAACTAGATGCATTATGTTCTGGTGGTTAATTGTGTTTTTATTGTAAATAATGTTTTTTTGTTAGGTCTAATGATTGTTTTGTGCTGCTTTTTATATCCTGTTGTCATTATCCGATTCTTTATAACCTTCCGTACTGTTTCGTCTCTCTTTTATTGCAACGTTTCTTTGCTTTTCTCCTTCCATATCATTTACCATCAGCTTTTCATGTTGCTTTGCAGGGAGGACCTAGATGAAGACGAATATGAAGAGACCAAGAGGGAGACCTTGGAGCAGCTGAACGAGTTCAACGAGTCTCTGAAAAAGATCATGTCTGGAAACATGACTTTAGTGGATGAGCTTGGCGGGATGCAGTTGGTACGGTTGCACATCTAGGTTACAGCTAGAAAAAGCAGGTTGCAGCTTTTTTTCCCCACTATGTAGGATTGCATTTCAAACAAGACACCCAGCCATGTTGCTGATGACACATGGGCTTCTTTCAAGGAACAGCTAGATGAGACCCTTGGATCAATTAGCCACTAAACACACCAGCAGCCATATCACTCTGCAGCTCACAACTGGCAACCCACTGAAGCTAAGCAGGTGTGAGCCTGGTCAGTACCTGGATGGGAGACCTCCTGGGAAAAACTAAGGTTGCTGCAGGAAGAGGTGTTAGTGGGGCCAGCAGGGGGCGCTCACCCTGCGGTCCATGTGGGTCCTAATGGCCCAGTATAGTGACGGGGACACTATACTGTAAACAGGCGCCGTCCTTCGGATGAGATGTAAAACCGAGGTCACAGAAACTCTCTGTGGTCATTAAAAATCCCAGGGCGTCCTGGCCAAATTTCCCATTGGCCCTAATAATACCTGTCTATGAATTGGCTTCATTACTCTGCTCTCTCCACTGAGAGCTGATGTGTGGTGAGCGGTCTGGCGCACTGTGGCTGCCGTCACATCATCCAGGTGGTGGTGGAGGGGAGTCCCCATTACCTGTAAAGCACTCCAGAAAAGTCCAGAAAAGCGCTATATAAGTGTAAGCAATTCATTAACTACTACATAATTAGATGGGTCGAATGGCCTCCTCCAATTTTCTTATGTACTTATGTTCTTTTCCAGTGGGCACCACGGTGTTGTTGGGAATGTGAATGCACAATTCTCAGAACTTGCTGACATGAGATTTGCTGTCATTTTCTCATACGTGTTGTCATTTGTAAGCTTTTTTACTTTTTTATAATTAAAAGGCAATCCAGGCCGCTATCAGCCAGGCCTTCAAAACCCCTGAGGTCATCAGACTGTTTGCAAAGAAACAGCCAGGGCAGCTGAGGACCAGACTGGCTGAGGTAGGTTCAGAAACATGGCACACCAGCCTGTGCACCAGTCATCGACTCGGGGACGGATCTGAATGGCTTATGAGCCAATTTGTAAAACCCAAGTTGATAATGGAAGGAGCGAAGAGAAATGAAACCTTTATAAAATATAATCCTGTCCAACAAAAATTTCCAAGTTCCAAAGCTTCATTTAGCTGAAACGTCGGAGGTAAGTTGAAGCATCCTGGGATTGTTCTGTTTTTTCTAATTGCAGATGGACCGGGATGTCATGGTGGGGAAACTGCCCCGGGTCGTTTACACGCAGCAGAAGGTGGAAATTCTCATGGCCTTGAGGAAACTGGGGGAAAAGGTAGAAGCAGTTTAATTCATACGAGCACAGGGGGGTTCGAAATGGGAAGTGCTGTTTAACTCAACTTCCCTTCACCAAAACTTTAAAATTGTTCCAAAAACAAAGAGAGGGCATTGGCAAAACATATATGCATTTGACCAGTAACACTGAGAGGCACAATTCTTTTGTTACATTTGTATTTACCAGTTATTTTCTGTTTTAAAACACCCAGTTTAGAACTGACGGAGTTTTAGCTGGGCACTGCAGTGTTTTTACTCCTATGCTGCCGGGGGGAAAATGAGGACCTCTGGGCACACTCCTCTGACACTCCCACCCGCCAGCACCACTGCAAGCTCTGCAGTGCTTCACACGGAGAGTCAGCATGAGGAGTGCGGCTCTGCCCGGGCCAATCATGGCCACTCACAGGCCGTGCTGCAGGTTCAGGGACACACGCTGCCAATCCTCAGACAGCAAGCAATTTCTCTGTCTCTGACTCTAGGCACAGAGCTCTGTGTGGAAACCTAGGTGGTATATTTTCTATTCTGTACTTATTTAGGACAGCAAAACCTCTCAGGTCAAGCTGTTTGCGTGGACTATTTATAATCCTTTATAGTTGGCTGGATCACGAGTGTATGAAATTAAATGGTGTAAGGTTTGGATAATGCATCATGTCCTGCTGGCCGCTGTTGTGTTCCATCACATCCAGAACTAACTGGGTCTTCCTTTGTTTCTCTGTTGCTCCTTATCCTGCTGTCCTGGTGCAGCTGACGGTGGAAGACGAGACTTTTCTCTCTGCCAACGCTAGTGCCACCCTGAGCCAGTTTGAAAAGGTCTCTCCAGATCTTGGTGAGTTCAATCGTGAAGTTGACGTCTGTTTTTTATTTTCTAAACCTGACCTTCAGGTCAGGCCTGTACCCGAGGCCTGATCTGTGTTACCAATTCAGCAGTTAGTTTTTAGATTTCCTGGTATAAGGAATGTCAGGTAGATCGTACCCCAACTCTTGGCCAGCCTCATAGATTTTTATAATATTAAGTAATTTAAACATTTGCCATATGCAGGGAAGAAACAAGTAACCCATTTTAAATCTATTCAGTACTATGCAGAGAGTCAATAAAAGCATAAAATGAGTAATGGAGCAAACATTTGTTGCACTCCCAATTCCTCTCAGTGTATTATAACTTTACACACTATGTTCAGATATGCTTCCATTTGGTTATTGCAGGGCTGGATCCACCTTTTTGTGTTTACATACACTGCTGTGGGTGTCTCATGGTCTAATCTGTTCCTTTATTGCTGGTCTCCTCAGGCTCTGGTGACAAGGTGCTTGCCCTGGCCAGCTCAGACGTGGAGAAAACCAAGACATAAAGCCGTGTGCGTACCAGCTCATTTGGAGCCCCACACTTCCTTGTTTACTGGCTGGTTTGCATGGTTTCCGTTATGGCGGTGTGAGAGGTAAAAGGCTGTAACACTCCACTAATCAGAATATTACATGAAGGTGTTTTAATTATATGAATTAAAAGTCAGAGCACTTGGTCTTCCTTTACAGGCAGAACTATTTTGTCCCTCCTGTTGTAATTTAAACAGTCCCTGTTCTTCATATCACGTGTGAGCTGTGATGTTTGCTTACAGATTTAATGGGCGTAAGCTCAGTGTTCTGAAAAGTTTTCAAGTAGTGTTCATGCTAACCTTTCTTCAGTAAACTTCAGTTCTGCACCAGCTGGTGCCATCTGCTAGGTTTAACACTTAAAGAAGGCTGCTGTGTGGGACAGGTTATGGAAACGAGGCTTTTGCCTTTCGTCTCCTGCAGTGACGGCACTTAGGCCTGGATTTTTAAAGAGCAAAAGATATAAATCATCGTTGACTCTCTTTGTCTCTACATCTGTCCAAGAGCTTTTTTTAAAAAAAAGCTGCTGGGAAGTTAGAACAAAATATTTACCATCGGCTGCTAGGCGGGGACTGGGTTTATGAAATAGAGCCCAACTTATTTCTGTGTTGTTGTTTTTAGCGTTTCTTTCACTTTGCTTGCAATCTAAAATTAGTCATGCTGTATTGTGTATATGTTGTAATTTCTTCTTATCGGTTTATTGTTAAAGGGTAGAGTAATAAGTAAAAGGTAGGTAATAAGTCTCCACTTTAATCTAAAAATTACGTCTTTAGCCTGATAAAACTTCCTTCCTTATGAGATGGATAAACAATTCCTGCCACATATCCAGAAAAAACAGGGTACACTTATCACACTGACAAAGACTGATGGTGCAGTTAATAGTCTTCTACTGTTTTCTCTCTTTACTGTGCTAGTTAGCATTTTATTGTTCCAAAGTCACAAATCTCAGCAAATTCCTTGTCTTAACTTAATTTCTTACAGACCAAACATTAACAGCTCTAATTTTAAGTACGAACATAATAACATTATGAATGAGAGGGCCCACTCAGCTCATTTTGTTTCTTAGTAGCTAATACTTGATATCTCTTGCTAGCAAATTTTAATTTATTACTTTTTCTAGGTTTTCTGTCAAGAATTTCTTTCCTTTATTTGATATTTGTACTTATTTGTGTGTACTTGGTATATTGTGCGTGTGAGGAAGATTCGGGACAGATTAACATATTCTGTGGTTTTCTCAGTAGCAGAGAATAGTATGAAAAAATGTATTCTATCACAGTACTCCATTAACTAAAAGTTAGTTGTAAACTTCCTGCGGTTGATTTAAAGTCTGTGAAGTTTGTGATTGCACTAAACATATTTAGAAAACTTTTTTAAAACAATGCATGACAAAATTCTGTAAAACGATGTATCATAGAATGTGTGGTGAGCAGATTAGACAGTTTTCTAGGATTTTTGTAACATGTATCGGCAAACCAATGAAACAAACTGATTCTTTTGAAAAGAATAATAAATGTTTGTACTTTTGCATCACACAATGAATGTGTTTGTAATAAACGGCATTGCTTGAAAAGTAATTTGTGTTGGTTGTCTCCTAAAAGGGGTGCCAGGGGCATTTTCAAGCCCTGCAGTTTTTAGGAATCAGGAAATTAGTTTTTAGGCATCAGGAAAGGTCCAGTATTACATGTGCTGGAGAACACTGGGAAGAGGAGTGGCATGAAGAGGCATTAGGTTAAAATAAATTGATAATTCCTAGTAATACTAGGAATACTAGTACAAATAATACATTTTATTTATTAAGCACTTTTCTATCATCTTGGATCACTGTACAGACATGCATGCATTAAATACATAACAGCAGTCCAGCAACCAGGTAAAACCAAGAGTTAAAGAATTGTGCATGAAAAGCAGCAGTTAAAAGTTATTTCAGGATGTTTCAAAGCAGGGGCAGCGACTTCCACAGTCATGCATCTATAAAAATTTATACACAGGTGTTTCCTCTCTTCTGGGCTAATCCATATGTGGCTGGATATAATTTTTAAATTGCTCGCTTTTTATTGTCAAACGGTGTGTGCTTTCTGTCTCACTTCTTTCAATACGGGCACTGTATCCAGACCCAGATTACTGCTTACTTTAGATGGAATTTAAATAGCATTCTTTGAAACCACCACTGACAAGTAAACCTTCCCGTCTCTCGCTGTTACATCATCGACAGTGACAGCGTTTTAAAAAAGACAGCTTTTCAGTTTTTACCATGGTAGATTTGCAGGCTCATGTAGCGTATCCCCCCCATGGTTTTACTGTACATATGCCACTCATTTACTTCTCCACAGGTTCTCTACATTTGCTTCATGCCCTGACACTCCCTTCTCTGCTCTGCGGTGATGTTGTACTTCACTGTTGCTGCGATGTACCACAAGCAACCCTTTATGAGGGAATCTAAAGAGATGCTGATTCAAGGTTGTCAGTCTGAAGAAACACGTTGAGGTGCTGTGGATAGAAATGCATTTGATATTTTGAGCTGCTGTTGTTACAAGTTGGTCCACTGTGTCTGATCTGATAAAGACAATAAATACTCTTTTAGAACAGTGGTTCTCAACCAGTGGCCCTTCAGAGACTGTTCAAGGGACCTCCAAATGAAAGCATGCCAGCAATGCATAAAATCCACACCTATATGCAATCAAGTATGCTTTTTGGTTTGACCTTCAGTTGTTTTATTTTTTCCAAGAAGATGACCATCCTAATCTTTCCATGAAAGAATGATGCTTGTTTTTTTACAAAGACCCTTTGGGGCAGAGATGGGGACCTCAGTTTGATTCCTCATTTTTATATATTTTTTGACACATAAAATCACACACAAATAAAGTTGTCCCCACCTACCAATGGCAACTCTTGAGATTGCTTCTCGAATTACAATAATTACGTTTATACTATATAAACAGCAAATTTAGGATTCAGCTCTGCCTTCCAAAGTACAACGTATAAATGCAGCCCAGCCTTACTAGGTACTGTATGATAAGTAATGAGCATTACGTTTGGTTGTTTTTAGCAGTAGCCAAGCAGTGCTTTCTTAATAAAGATTTCTGTGGTGAGGTCTCAAACTGAAGTCTGTAACCTACGAACATAACTCAAGTGGCACAATGGACATGCCAGTGCAAGCATGGAGGTCTCTGTGAGACAACTGTGCCCAAATAGAAACAATCTATTTCGCGTGGTCTATATTTACAGCTGGACACATCATTTAATCCCATACAAGAGGAGAGCGGCAGCCATTGTTTAATAATGGAATATGACGACCGCGGACAAAACATTTCAGCCCGTGGATTCAGATGCAAACAAAACAAAAGGCTGGAACAGATCTGGTATTTTGTAGCAGGTTAAGGCTAGTTTTGTTCCTCACATTACATTCCTGATGTCTGTGCCAACTCTGTCTCTTACCTTCTGAGCCGAAGGAAACCTCAGGCCCTGGGTATGCAGTTTCAAGAGCAGCAGTGTGGTAGGCACTGTGCTGTATTCTCATTCACTGTCTGGAGGGATCTGGAGAAAGTCTGTCTTTTTGCAATTTGAGGAGCACCAGCTTAATATGTTGTATGATTTGATAGAAAGACAACGTTCTGAATTCTGACTTCACTCACAATTTAAGGTCACATTTTAAGGTCTGACCTGGCAAAATGCTTTGAAGCTGCGTTAAAAGCCCTCCAATCTGCAAAAGCTCAGCTATTGTGTAAAATTACAATCTATTAAGACAGACGAGACTTAAGGAAAAGAGCACCTGAGCCTTTTCTCGCACTAGACCAAGGATTCTTTATTATTCAATGTTTCTTTTGCATGGTGTGCTATCAAAGGGCCTCACATTGGTATGACACTACTGCCTCAGTGCTCCAGAGGCCCTTTCAAATCCAGGGTGGGGCACCTTCTGTGTGGAGTTTGTATGGTCTCCATGGGTTTTCGCCAGGTGCTCCAGTTTTCTCCCAAAAATATGTGTTGACGTGTTGGTTGGTTAGATGAAGTGGCCCATTCCATCAGGTGCAGGAGGGCGGCCTTTTCCTCATTAATCTGGCCCATCCTGGACGGCTCAGACCATGGAGCTGTTGACAGAAGGTGCAGCTGAAGGAGTAGAAGAGGTGGTTAGCAGTGCTACCTCACAACCTCAGTGGCCTGTATCCAGTTCAAACCACAGGGGGCTGTCCCCTGGTTTCCAGGTCGTCAGTATACATGACAATCTTTTTTCAGCTCACTTAGCTAAAGAAGGTATTATCCTAACTGTCTGTCCATATTACAACATTGCACTACAAGGCCTGCAATACAAATTTGTTTTCAAGCTCGCTTTTTAAAGGAGCAAACTATAAATTGTGCAATGGAGCAGACCCGTGTGAAATGTATTTACATGCTGTGCATTCTCCACACAGTGAGGCATGTTAAGCTGGGTAAAGATTTGTCTTTCTCTCCAAATCATAGATAACCTCATTAGAGAACTGAACAGAACAGGAGGTAACCCCCTAATTACCTCTCAATTAGCTTAAGGAGTAAGCAGAGACTCCTTACTTGTCTGTGCTGGCTGTAATGATATGTTGATGTATGTTTTATTAGGCAGACATTAGACTTCCTGGGTTAACTGTATGGCAAGTATTTACTGGAGACTGTTTGCATAGCAAACAGCCTAGGGACACTCATGCTCCCCACAGAATGGAGAGACATCTTTAAGTAGTTCAAGTAGGGAGCTGCGTCAGCATGCATACGCTGCAAAGGAACGAGTGAAGGTTTATTCCCTGCTGAAAAGAGAAGGAAACAACTTTTCGGCTGTGGAGCCTTCATCGGGTGTGAGCAAGACATCTTTAATCAGAGCTATACAACTCCAGCCTTCCCCCACTGCGACGTGTACCGTAATTTGCCATGTGTAACCCTTTAGTTTTTTGGAGGAGAATAATATAGCAATAAAAGGTGTGCAATAAGGGGTATCACCGTCCGTTTTTATCTTTGCTTTCAGCAGGTTTTGAGCTGTATGTGCACAGCATTTATCAGAGTTTGGATATGGTTACTGAGAGATATTTCTTTGGCCGTATCAGAGCACCTTACCGAAAAAAAGGATTCACTCCTCGTTTCTTAAACGTTAGACGCTCGAGTGTAAACAGCTACACTGTGCAAAATGTGACTTTGTCACGTACTCCTATCCCAAAAGACGTGTACATTAATGGACACGTTCAGCAACATACATGGGCAATAAAATGAAGAGTATGTCCATATTATTAACAAAGCTGTAAGTATTATCCGACGTGGGGAATTAATATATGGGAAATCCCTGTCTAAAAGCCCTTCCTCAAATGCAATGATGAGTACTGTGCACTGGTGGGTAATGCACCAATAGGCTCACGCTACCGCCCAACGCCGCCCCCTGGTGGCAGACAGCGCAGCCGGCCCGGCAGGAACTGATTCAGCGCCCAGGAGCCTCAGTGTGAGTCATTGAGCTCCTACCCCGCTTCACCGACAGTCGGGATGTGACCCCGGAACAGGACGCCTCCTCGCAGAAAAAAAAAAAACAACACACACACACAACACACACCATTCAAATAAAACACAGAGGGGGGGAGAAACGGATCTGGAGCAGAAGAGGTAAGCGCACTCTTAAAAAAAAAAAACCCCAACACGCTAGCTTCGCTCTCCCTTTTGATTCCTATCCCTTTCCTTTTTCTCGTGCACCGAAATGCTGTTTTGCGCCGGGATCGAGGTTTGTTTTTTTTCTTATCCGGGAATCGCGGCGGTCTTCGGATGCACGGAGCGGTCCGGCACCTGGACGGGCTCCTACAGGCGCAGGAACTTCATTTTACGGCTTTTGTCTACAGCTTTTTCCGCGGAGACTTCGCGTTTTTTTTCTCTCTCTCTCTCTCTTTTGTGCAAGAGGAGGAGGTCGAGGAGACACGGCGAGGTGCCCCTCACCCCCCCCTCCTCCTCCTCCTCCCCATTTTTCCAGCTTTGCTGCGATTTGCATACATTGCGTTAAAAGTTTTGCAGGAAATGAAGAATTGCGCCGTGTTGCCGTGTCGGGTTTTTGTGCAGCTCTGGGCGCCTGGTCCCGAGTGCGGTGTGTGCTTTGGGGGTATCGGCCAGTAAAATAAAGACACTGGGGAGCTGAGCTGTTTTACGGCAGCATTTTCATTTCTTATTGTCTCTCTGGTCTTCAGCGTTTCATAACCGGGGAGGGAAAAGTCTCACCACCCCTTCAGATCTGTTATTTACTATCGAGATGTTTTTTAACGATGTAGGATGCGGGGTGTTTTAATTCATCTAGAGGTTATGCGTCGTTTGTCATGCAGTTAGGAGGGGATTTCTATTCATCGCTGATGTGATTGCTAGTCTGGCTTTTCGCTCTGCAACTTTTCCCTTCAAAGCTGATAAAACAGCCATTGAAGGGAAACGAATCCTCATTTTTGCTCTCCCCTCAGCTGAAGCTAGGCAGTTTCGGTTTTGCTGTGCAGAGCAACCCCAAAACAGCTAGAGGTACCTACAGCTACCAAATCGCCTATCGATCCGATTGGTTTGTCGGCCAGTTCGGTTCCCGCAGAAGTTTTCTCTCGAGAAATGAACTTTCCTAATAAGAAATGCCCCCCTCCCCAGGGACCTTTCTGTTATTGGTGGCGCTTATTTCTCCCAAACGGCGCAGCTTTCAGTGGGGGCGAAGAGTTGAACTCGAGTGACAAAGCAGTAGCGCTCCACGCCCGTCTCCTCATAATTGCCGGTGATTAATTTTACCTGCCTGCTTAGTTTTGCGGCGTTTGTCGCGGCACACCTAGGAGCTGGCAGGCGAGACCTGGGGTGGGTAGCGAGATCGGGCTGGGTTTGCTGGCTGGAGAGCTTGGCTGCGATTTCCCCGTCTCACCACAGTTGACAGCCGCCTTCTGATGTGATCATACACCAGGCCTCGCAAGGCTGTGTGCCGGGGGCAAGTGCATCATCATCCAGCCGTTTACTGACCCCTTCATCCCACTATCCCTATCCCTATCCCGGCAAGCACTGGGAACAAGGCGGGATAGTCCCTGGATGGGAGCCTGCGCTGACAGGCCGCACACGGACACAGACGCGCACACTTAACCCACTAGCATGTCTCTGTGGACTGTGGGGGGGGAACATGCAAACTCCACGCAGACAGCACCCTTGAATTGAAGCCAGTGCTAACCAGTGTGGCTCTGTGCCGCCCCGCTGTAGTTCCTGGGCTTTGCCTTCGTCGCCCCGCTGGTCTGGTTGTGCTTTAACGTCTTTGATTGGCCCATTGGCTCCAGATGCGCCCCTATACTTTCTCCCACGTTTATCTAAACAAGCAAAGTGTCACCGTTTACGCTTGCTGTGTTTACAAGGAGAAAGCCAGCCTCCGTTTTTATTTCAACACAAGAACAGAAAAGGGGCTCCAAAAGAGAGAAGGAGCTTGGGCCTGTCTTGCTTCTCTTGATGGTAGAAGCTTGTTTAGCCTGTTTGGTGGTGACTAATCTGTTGATCAAAGCATCCCATCTGGCTGTATCTGGGAGGGCACTGACTTGAACCACTTGACTAGGTAGCTTGTTCCACCCTCCTGCCACCACTAGCGTAAAGCAGTGCCCTCTGTTCTCAGTTTTAAATGCACTTTCAAGCAGTTTCCTCTTGCGCCCTCTGGTTTGTGTTTTACTGTTCATGCCGAAGAAATCCACTGGGATACTCTGTTGTTGCCTGTGAGGCCTTTGAATACTTGTATCAGGTCCGCCTCGTAGTCGTCTTTAAAAAGATTCGGTTCCCTCTGCTTGTCGGTGATGCTCATTCCCTTGAGCCCCGGAATGTATCCGGTTGATCTTCTCTGGAAGGATTTCAGAGTGGAAATCTATTTTCTGCATCACGCTGACCTCTATTGTAAATGTTATTTTAGATGAGGTCTTACTAGTGCATTATACAGTTGTAACACAGCTTCCCTCGATTTCAATTACGTGCTTTTAACTATATATCCCAGCATTTTGTTTTCCTTTTAATTCCTTCCCCACGTAGATTAGAAGATGTAAATGAAATGTCAACATAAACTCCTGCCCTTTTCATAAGTAGCCTCTTCCAGCTCTGCATTTCCTATTTTATATTTATACTTTATTTATCATCTGCAAACTTAACTATTTACTAACTACCCCTGAGTCACTGTCACAGATATAAATTAAGAAGAGCAGTGGTCCTAGTACAGATCCGTGCGGTACTCCCATTAATTACCTCACTCCAGTTTGGGTATTCAACCCTTATCTAGACCCTCTGTTTTCTGTTAAATAACCAAACACTTATGTCTCTCTGAATGCCTTCTGCCTGCAGACTGAGAATTAATCTTTAATGATTCACAATGAAATTTTCTCAGCTGTTTAGAAATTGATGATTTCATGGTAACCTACAAAACATGCTGGAATAGTGCAGGGTTGGAGACCTCTGCTTTAAAGTAACATTGACATTCTGTGCCAACGCTGATGCTGAGATTCTGTCTCATGTAAAAGGTGCATCTCACAGTGTAACAGATTTGCAGTCCTGCACGGAGTGAGAGATTCCTCTGCTTCATCTGTGTGCACGTTAAGATGTGGCAGACATCGGCAGGCTTCCTCTGTGGAAACTCCGGAAAAGGAGCCAGCAGATGTACCGTGTGACTGGCACTCCTGTGCTTTATGCCGTTGGCTTGTCCAGTCTAGCCCATGATTAGTTGTCAGCCTGGGCAATGTCTGGTTAGTGTGTTTTACGAAAAACAAAAACAAGCCGCAAATCAGCCGATAGCTTTCCTGAAATCATGGAAGCTTATGGAGTGTGTCCTGATTGTCTTTTAGAATGACAAATGTGAAATACAAATATAAGTCTAAACCTGTTGCATAAGTTTATTGTTACATCAAGGGAAGTACACAGCCTTGCAGCAGATCCGTGTATACACAGCAACAAAGCAGTATTGCAAAAAGATTCTCACCAGTTTGTTTCAAGCGGTGTTGGCACACTATGACCTACTTATAGATCACCATTGTCTTTGGATACTGTGGCCATTGTTTCAGCACAGCAGCAGATGT